AATGAAACAAGATAATAAACTACAAATAAATATCGAAAATGAAACATTATCATTAACTGTACTTAAAATTGTTCCTGATAATGATACACCAATAAAAAAAACAGTACAATCAGGTTTTCTTATTGGTACACCATCATCAACTGGTACAATAAGTTCATCATCATCATCATCAACATCAAGTAATACACATTTTAATTATGATGAAATTCCACAAATAAAAAAAACTGAACCAACTCCAAGTTCATTCTATTGGCCATCACAATTACGAAGACAATTAAGTCTTAATTTAACAAATAAAACATTAAATCTACCTCCATCAACTCCATATACCCCTCCACCAATGCTTAGTCCATTTCGTAAAGGTCCTGGTCTTTATTATCGAGTTTTTTCTCAACCAGGAACATCAACAGAATCATCATCAATACCAACAACACCACTTCCACCATATACACCTATAGGTGAAGAATCAGCAGGTCCTAAAATTAATATTGGATCAGAATATCAAGCAAAAATTCCTGCAATTCGAACAAAATTATACGATGATGATGAAGGTTTGTACAATAAAAACAAAACATCAAAACTAATATAATCAACAATTTATAATTAAGACTATACGATCAAACAAAAGAATTTCTTTAGAATATTCTATGAATTACTAGATATACTTATGAACATACATTCAGATCAAAATTCTATTATTTGACTTTTTTTTAGAAATCTTTTGTTCTTAATAAAAATTTCAATAGAATGGTTAGAAATTTTAAGAATAATTAACATTTGATTGACATCTTAGTTTTTTTTTCTCTATAATTTTTTTTCTTCTTCTAGTAACTGCTGATGAATTATTATTTTCACCATATGAATTATCATATGTTGATGAAAAATCTCTTGAAAAATTTGAACAATTAAATCGAACGAATCCATATTTATTTTCATCACGTCATTCACCAAAATCATATTCAATTGAATTAATTTATATGTTATTACATGAATATAATGGTAATTTACCACGTACATTAGCTGCTTTACTTGAAGGTACAGTTATGGATATAAAACAATGTCGACCAATACATTATTATCATTTTCTTGATTGTGATAAATGGACAAAAGAAGAAATTGATGCTTTTACAAAAGCTATACAAACATCAGAAAAAAATTTTCAACTTGTTAGTCAAGCAGTATGTTATTTCATTTTCTTTTTTTTTTTTTTTTTTCAAAAAAATTTTTTAATAATGTTTTTTTTTTTTTCTTATATTTTCTATCTGCAGGTTGGAACAAAAAGTGTTAAACAATGTATTGAATTTCATTATATGCCAAAAACTAGTAAAACTGCTCGAAAAATAGTATCAACAAGAACAAGTTGTGTCATGACTAGACGAAAACGATATCAAATGATTAAAGCAAAACAACAACAACAATTCGATGATGAAATATCATCATCACCATCGTGTAGTGAATTTCGTTTAGTATGTATTCTTATATTTTTAATAATTAAAATGAGATATTTTACATTTTAATCTCTATAGAAATTATATTAAGAGCATTTGTTATTTTTTTCTTCTTGTTGTTGTTTAGGATGATGATGGTTCAACAATGAATAGTGATAGTTCTCCTGCAGCTCATTTTTCCTGTGATATTGATGAATGTTCACAAGTATGATAATAATATTATTGAAATATGAAAATGTTTTATAAATTATATTTATTATTTTTTAGACATTTACAACTGAACGAGCATGTCGTGCTCATCGTAAAACCCATCGTCAAACTAATAATAACATGACATCATTGACAATTACAAAACGAAGTCGAAATATTGATTGATACAAGTGAATAAAACATTTTATCTCTTTCAAATTTTAATGTACATATGTTTGTTTGTTTGTTTTTTTTTTCGTTTTGGTTATACATATATATATTTTTTTCTCTTTCTTTCTTTCTTTCTTGTTTTTGAACCATTGAGCAGTGATTAGTTTTGATAAAACAAAAAAAATATCTGAACAAACAAAGTGTCTTCATATTTGCTCTTTAGTTTTTATTTTGTGAGTGTGTTTGTTTTGAAGAAAAAAAAAAAGAAAAAAAGAAAGTTTTTCTCGTGTCTTATATATTTTGAAAAAAAAAAGAAAAGGAAAAGAAGAAAAAAAAACACGGTGAATTAGATCTCGGTGTGTTTTTTGTGGTCTTTTAGTCAGATCGTTTATTTGTATTTGTTTATGTTCTTTGCACTTTCTCAACTACATCTCTATATTGATGGATGTAGTATAACATTTGTTTACTTTTTTTTTGTTGTTGTGTTCTTTCTTGCCATATGTGAAACAAGAACTGCGCGTACAGGTGTGCCTTTTTTTTTTCTTTCTTTCTTTCTTTTATTGTGTGTATGAGTGAAAACTTTTATGTATAAGAAAAAGAAACAAAAAAACTTAGATACAAAGAGATTATTATTAAATATCAGTTATACTGGTAGTATAATCAGTTACATTATCCATTGGTTTATCTTTTGTTTCAGGTAACATTAATGAAAATAAAAGAACAATAAATGCTAAAAATGCTGATGCATAAAATGTATATGATAAATAATTATTACTAATTGTTGTATATATTATAGGTGCTGTTATAGCACCAGTACGACTACATACAATAAAAACTCCACTAGCAGTACTTCGAATTGAAGTTGGAAAAAGTTCTAATACAAATATCCATGCTATGGCTGTAGTACTAGATATTGTATATTTTCCAAGTTGAGCTAAACTAAGACTTGCTATTGAATTATATTTTTTAATTATTGGAATAAATATCATACAAATCATTGTTAAACTCATCATTAATATAAATGAACCTTTACGACCAAGTCTACTAGATATAAGTAATGAACTTGTAATATAACTAATTGCTTCAACAATAGCACCAATTAATATTCCTAAATATGGTGATGTATCCATCATAGCTAAACTATAACTTATTTTAATATAAATCATAAGTGTTGTAAAACCTATAATAGCTGTTAATAATAATTTAATTATAGTTGTTCGATTTATAATTAACTGATAAGATTTTTGAAAAGATGTTAGTTGTTTTTTATGTGTTAATTTTATTGATTGATTACGTAAAAATTCTTGATAATATATATACCAATCAGTTTCTTTTCGTCCATTTTGATTTGCTATTTGTCGTAAAATATTTTCAAGTAATACATATTGTCCTTTTGCATAAATATATAATGGTGATTCAGGCATAAAATAAAGATATGGTATACCTAAACCAATAAAAATTGTATTAGCCCATTTTAATTTTTGCCAATCATATGTTATAAATGCAAATAGAGTAACAATAATTTGACCAATTGTCCATGAAATAAATATTAAATTTCCAGCTAAACCTGTATATGTTGCTGATGTTAATTCAAGTGCAAGAATAAATATTAAACTATAAGTTGAACAGACAAGACCCGATGCAAATTGATTGAATAATAAAACAATGAATCTAGTTAAATAGAAAATTTAGTTATTTTTGAAGTAATTTTAAATCATATTACTTAGTTTTTATTGTCATTGGTATCCATTGCATTATTATTTGAGTAATAAGACATGTAATAAATAATATCATAGTAACAATAACAATCATTTTTTTTCGACCATATTTATCAGCAAATGAACCAATAATAAGTAATAAAAAACCACTACATTGTATAACAGTAGCTAACCAACTTCTTTTTGATTCATTATGACAAACAAAATCAGCTTCTTCAGTAAATGTATATCCAAATATTGATCGATCATATACCCAACCATTTGGACAATTTATAAGTGTATTATTCATATTACTTATCATATAACGTACACAATTTTCCCATTGTTTTCCATCAATAGTTTTTGGAATATAATTATTAATATATAATTCATGTGTTTGATTT